ATTGGGATGATTCGGAGGCAGAGCTTTTTCGAAGATTTTAAGTGCTTTTTCGTAAAATTCAAGTGCTTTCGAGTAGTCACCGATGTTGTAATACAATTGACCGATGTTGTTGTAGGAAGTAGCCAATGAGGGATGATTCAGAGGGAGAATTTTTTCGTAGATAGCGAGTGATTTTACGTAAAACTCGATGGCTACATTATATTGCCCTTGCTGATCTTTCATGAGCCCAAGGTGGTGATAACAATATGCTTTATTATTGTCATCATCGGGTGCTTGTTCGAGTAACATCGTAAAAACTTGTTCTGCTTTATCATTCTTACCCATTTTCCATAACAATGCACCCATTCGTTGCCAACCAGTACCAGTGATCTCCATCCGGATTTGTTTTGTAAGGTTACTCAGCTTTTCATCGATACTGTCACTAGTAAGTGTAAGTTTGACTTGCCATATCTTCATTTCTTTCTCTTGGATTTCTTTGATTTGTCGAATTCGAAATACAGTGTGCGTTGAAAAAAGAATTTCTTTTTCGTCTGGAAATTTGCTGAATTTAGCGATGCGAGCATATGGAACCGATTTTATTGATGGATCAATTGTTATGATAAAGAGGACACCAATTTTACTGTTGTCGCGAATGAAATCAACAGCAACATTTCTTAATTCACTTGTCGATAAGAAGTTATTAAAAGACATGAGTTTGTCTGGTTGGATTTTGTTTTCGAAGTCTTGTTGTGTCATAGTTTGACCACGGTAAACTATACTTGGAAATGGTTTATCGTTGTCATTCAATTGTTTGTCGTGGAGTTGTTGGATATTTTGATGAAGATCACGCATGAAGAAACCTGTTTTGAGTAAAGTACTAACATCTAGATTACCTAATGCTTTGTTGAGCATTTTGTACGTGAAACATTCTGCAGTATACCATCGAACAGGATTGTTGTCGATGTTACCGTGATATTCTTGGACGAATTTGTCGATAAGTTTGAGTTGTTCTTCGTTATTAGCATATACCTTTTGTTGACGGGCATAATCACCAAGTTCTGGAATTGTTTTCTTTTCGTCAAAATCAATTTTAAGTACAATTTCTTTGAAAAATGTTGTATACATAAATGATGATTCTAATTCACCAGTAATTCCAACAGTATCATCATCGCATTCTCGCGCTGATTGCTGAACGGAAGCGCAAATCGAGTGGATTTCCGTGAATACACCTCTTACTTTCGGCCACTCTTTCGTTTTCCATTGTTCGTATTTTGATTTTTTGCGACAAAATATATAGATTGCATAAATTTGAGACATGCCGTGAACACATGGTAAGACATTTTCAGTAAGAGCCCCAGATACAATAAGAAAAGCTTTTTGATTTTTGAAACTTGAAATATAGTTAAGACATTCATCGGCATCATGAAATGTCTCAATGGTATCGACGGTTCGTTGCAATTGCTTAATTGAATTTTGAAAATCTTTGCTTGACTCGTCTAAATTACCATCGAGCCAAAGTAGAAAATAATTTTGTACAAGATCTTGGGCTTGTACACGTTGCTGACCTTTTTCTCCATTCGTGATAGAGGCTTGAGAACGGTGAGGATGTGTGGGTGAATTTATTTTGACAGAACTAGTAGGATTTACAACAGATTTATCTGTTGTCATTGATGTACCAGAACCCATGTTATACGCAGCAGAATAAAATGAATGAATGAAAGTTCTTATGTATTAAAAAAATGAATACGCACTTTGACGGACGATTTTTTTTTCTCAATTATGATTGAAATATTGTTTCTTTTTGGTTGCCAATCAATAAGGTTGTTTCTATTGTTTCTAATATTCTCTTGTTTATGTTTCTATGTACAATCAGTTTGTTTGATTTTATTAAATCAATAAGGATCGTATCGAAAGAAAAAAAAACTACCGTTCTGTCTGTTTCAATGAAATACTTCAATAGTTTCTTTCTTGTCTTTGCTCTTTCGTTCTTTATGTACATAATCCAATTGTTTTTCAATCAGACAATCTAATAGAATGGCAAAAAAAAGTAAAGTTATTTGCTAGTGTAACAATTTTGAAAAAATAGCTATTTCATGACTTTTCAAAGATCATAACAATTAAACACTCCTAATGTCAACCATTCTAATGAAAAAGAATAGTTACAGTTGTAAATAAGATGTGTCGTTTGCTCAGTCTAATAAATACAACTACTAGCGTATGCTAAACTTTTATTTGTTGATAATCATTTGTTTTTTTGGGTCAATTGTCATTAGGAATACGGTTTGTTTTCTAGTGAGCGAACGATTTTTCATTGTTTATTTCAAGTGTACTCGGTGAAGCGAGCGAGTCTGCATCAAAGAACAGCAACGAACGAAACGGATACATGGTCATCGAAAGAATTATAATAGTAAGATGATGGTGAAAAAGAAACGAAAAAAAATACTGATAGAATGAATGCTGTTGTTGTCATTGTTGCCAAGGTTTTTTCCAACATCGTCGTAGACATGAGCAGCAAAGAAGACCACGTGTTTTAAAATCAATCGATAAGATTTGAAAAATATGTATATTTCCATTTATTCTCGAGATTTTGTCATGAACTTTGAATAATGAACAAAAACAAATCAAATTTTTAAACGTTTTCAACAAAGATTATCTAATTGCAATACAATATTGAGTCTACGATAAGCGACATTCTTGCATTTTCTGATTTACTTATTATTGATTAATTGATAAATGTCGAATAATATAACTTTCAATATTGGTCATTCTATATTATAGTCTTTTGGAAAGTAAATAAAAGCATCTATTTGTGTTGGGTGTGGGTTTTCATCCGTTTCCCCACAGATACCCACATCCCATCCTAGACTTCAAGGACTCCTTATATTGAGCATTCATTTTTTTAAAATGTTGCCAACAAAGCGTTACAGGTAAAATATGTTTACATACGTCGAATAAGAGACGAGGAAGAATAAGAACGAAACATAAAAATAAATTGCAAAAGCATTATTTATAATAGAAAAGAAAAAAAATTTATAAATAGGATTTTAAAATGTTTTTTTTTCTAGTATCTTTCTTTTCAGTTGTTTTGGTCGATAATGGCTTCTACTGTTGCTAATGAGGGTGTGGGTGGATATTTGTGCATAGAAGTAATCTTTGCTTACGATTATACTCACATCCACATATCGCCGTTGAACATGTAGCAAACACTATATTTTAGTTATGAGAATTTTTGTTGATGAAAATGTTTTCACTTTATACAGTCTTGTTTTATAAAGATGTAATCTAGTGCTATCTATTAATAAAAACAACAGAAACGTCAATGGTAGTTATGAATATTCAATTGATGTTAGACTTTTTCAGTCGACTATTCATTCTTTCGTTATGCTCATCAAAAAGTTTAAATTTATTGATTTGACTTTAAAATAAATGAATTGAATATAAATTAAACAAAATAGATAAATTTAGGAAATCATGTGAACTTTTAAAAAGCAAATAATTTGATTTTTTCTATTTTTTTTTCATCTCTTCTACGATTCTTTTCTGATTTAGAGACAATAACGAAAATTATTTTAAATTAGTTACAACTAGTGGGGACATATTATTCATGGTATGCGATTAGGATGGTTATGATGTAGAATTAGCAGCTGTCGAAGAAAATCTTAATCATTTTTTTAAAGTATGTAAAAGAAACAAATTTAACAAGAATTCAAGTTAAATTACATGGAATTATAAAACATAATCCTAATGTTGGATCAAAAGCTTTCCAAGGTTATTTTTATTATTTAATTTAAATTTATAATAAGCTTTAGTTTTTTTTAGTTTCAATTAGGCGCTCTATGACGATTTGCCGAATTAACAAATGTAATACATTCGAAAAAGATTAAACTATTTCATTCGAATATTATGAAAGTTATTTTTTATGTTCGTGATCGATCAATTAATGATAAAGAAATCCAAGTAAGTAAAACAGAAAATCTTTGTCATCTAAGAAACATTTTCTAAAGAAGTAGTCAGAAAAATATCATGCAATTGAATAGAAACATAGAAAGGGATTGCTCTAGTTAGTCGACAACTTCTCAACTTGTGTTTCGATTAAAACTTCAAGTTAGAGAGGATGTTTTTCAGGTAATGTAGAATAGGTAGTGTGATACTATTTGACGAAATACGAACTGAGAAGCTGCCCATCACTTGAAGCGATTCGCCTTTGAAAGTAATCGAGTGTAGAATTTCTTGCAACTTAAGAATAATATAATTTTATTTATCATTATAGTTAAAGTTTGAAGTCGAGTGAGAATGAATTTTTCTTTGTTTTTTCCTAATATTAATAATAAATAATCTTCTTTTAAAATATAGAATTAATTACTAAATTATTTTCAAGAATCTCTCATGTCCTATTCAGTCAATATGTTATCATAGTACGTTTTCTAGTGACAAATGCAATTAGTAAGTTCTCTTTCAAACAATTATTTGATCATGAATCATCAAGAAAAAGTCAACAATCAATAACTAGAAATAAAAATATTGATACAAATCAACAACATATTTCAATTAATATTCGACAAATAAAGAATCATTTTATTTTCGATGTGAATCTTTGTTGTTTTTTTTAATGTGTTTATATGATATGTTATATTTATTTACAACAGGAGAGATCATAATGTAATATGAAGTTCATTGGAAACACTCTGAAATTATACTTAAATATTCAAATCCATTTAATTTTGATCAATTGTTAATTTCCATTTTAATTCATAGAAGAAAATCGCCTTAGTAAAGCCTTAGAAACAGGTAAATATTCAAAAGAAAAAAAATAGTTTTTTTATTTGTTTCTATTCTTCTAGAATAATAGATTATTCAACATACCAACGTTAATTTATTGAAATTAATAAACGACATGATATTTTAGCAGATAAAATGAATGATAAATAATATTCAACATCAACGATTAATAATGAAAAACAAACATCAACTGCTAAACTTGTTAATCAATTATATTTTTTATAATTAAATAACTACTTAATATGGATGATATGATAAAAAGTGATGATGAATCACGTATTAGTTTTAAATGTGCTACACTAACATGTCTATCGTATTTATCAACAATTCCATTATCCTAATAAAAATATGTTTAATACTTCTTTTTGTAAAGTTTCACTTCAGTAAAATAGATTTATTTTATAATCCAAAATTATTTCCAATGTTATAAAAGTAGGAGGGCTTCGCTGAATGAGATCAATCTAGCGAAGGATATTGTAGCAGAGTTTAGTTGATATCGCTTCAATTGATTAAGATCTTAAAGTTTTAATGAAAGTTATCTGATAGATATAATAATTTTACTATTAAATTTTTAACACAACACAATATGAAACTAGGTTAAACATACACAAGTTTTGAACTCCATAAACTGTGTTTATACATGTATACATCAGAGATTGAAATTATACAGTCATACCGTTACATCAGAAAAGTTCTAGGCTGAAGTACGAGTTCTACACATATTTACTACAAAAGAGATGTTTTGTTTTTTTAAAGTATTATTTGAAATCAATTGTATTCTCTAAGGAATTTTTCGGTAGTCTTTGAACATTTCTAAGTAAATATAATTTAGTAATGGATGTAAAATTCTTATTTCTATATTACTCGTAATACATTAAAATCTATCAAATATCTACATGTCTTTTTCTCTTTTATTTAAGTATTCAAACAACAATTTTTGTTTTGCTTTTATTTAGAATTGATCATTGTATTGCTATTATCTTTCAATTTCTTACTGATGATAATACATATGTTCGTCAAGTAACTCTGTCAACTTTTGTTAAGTATGTACATAGTCTAAATGTTAATTGGATTGTTCTTTTTTTATCAAATAATTTCATCGAGCAGATCAATAAATGGAGCTTTGCAAAATATAAACACAAGAATAATATTTACTTTTTTTTTGCGTCACAAAATTTTCATATTTGTTTGCATAAAGATGAAATAAATAAGTAAATCTCTGACACTTTTGTAATGAATTAATTCTATCGAGAACTTCAGTTTCGGTAATATTTGAATGTATAAGTCGATTTTAAGATTTGTTGACCACAGTTCATTTTTATCATATATTATAACGATCAAATATTTCTGTAATTATATTCAATGATGAAGTACAATATGAAACAATATCATGTTTACCAACATTAATATTTCATTGTTTAACTCAAATATCAACTACTCGAATACAAATTGTTTATTATTTTTGTCTTTTATATAGGTTGGATACTTAGAAGATATTTATGCTCTTTCAAATGTTTTAAGATCAATAACAATTCGACCATTCTTTTTTTTTCATAATCAGTATAATGAACTTCGTTTATTTGTTTTATATGAGATGATCTTAATAATTGACAATTATTACTCGATATTATTAATTTAATCTTTTCAAGTAAAGAGAAAGAAAAAGATGTTTATTATTTTTTTTTGCTTTGAACCTTTTCTTATTTGAAGGTTTATCAACTAATGCAAATGAAATGAATGATATTCAATCAACAGAAAAAAAAAATTTCATATTTTAATCAAGTAAAACAATTTTTTTCTGTTAAAAGAAGATCTATGAAAATGTTTTTCTTTTTTTTATTCATAGAATTTCATCTATATTTATTATGTGTTGTTGAAGATACAAGTCCATCAATTCCACAATCATCAAGAATAGAATCTCCATCTATTTTTGGATCATTGTAACAAATAATAAAATGTTTTGAAAGAAGTAAAAATGATTCAACTAATTCGAAAATTAAACTATTTTATTACCGTTCTCGAATTATTGCAGAAATATTCACAACTGTAAGTAAAAGCATCTTTTCACATCATCTGTACGTATTAAAAAAAGTGATAATAGAATTTATACTTTAATAGACTTCACAATTGTTAACAATTATTGTTGATAGTGTTCGAAATGAAGGTGATGAATGAAAACATTTTTCATGACAAATTTTCGATGTACTTCTTGTTCATTTATCTTCACATGTTACTATTGATTTATCTAAGGTTATTTCTCATTTTTTAATAATCTTCGATTATACGTTACTTTTCTTTTTTTTTTCAAATAGTATCAATCACTTTTGGATATTTATTCCATACAATCAACACTATTTGATGCTGCATTGTCATTTGAATTCGACCAATTGATCCATTTGTTACTGTTTTTTGAGCATCAATAAAAGCAAACGTTGGTTTGTTTTTATGAAATTTTTCTGTTATTTAAATTTTTTTTTTTTAAGGACATCAGTCATCAAACTATAAATTGATGATTAATGAATATAAATACTATTCTTTGATGTCTTATACAAAATTCAACTAAAGATGTTATATTAACATGATGGAATAATCCTTTATCATTAGCTAAAATGAAATACCATTTGAAACTTTTAGTGAGTAAATATTCGAAATGATTTTATTTATAATTTAAAAACTACGATTCTTACTTTTGTTTTTAGAGCTCCTCTTTAATTATGAAAAATGGTAATGAATCAAAATAATAATGTATTTGTACATATAGATATGATAGTTCAGCAATAGGAATATTATATTTAGCTGAACTCGTCATCTTTGTAACGAGTACCAGGATGATTGATTTAAAACTTTCGATTTGAAACTTTAGAAAGAAGAAACTAACTGAACGGATAAAAACTAGTTTCTATCAAAGTCAAAAGAGCTTAAGTTTTCATCATAATCTATATGATAGTAACATATCACTCATTCATTTGAGAAGAAAACTTTCCTGCAATTCATTAATTAATAATGAACTAGAGAAAAGCATTTGACTTTAAAATTTCTATGTTTTTATAAGATTTATAATTTTATTTTAGCTAAATAATTTCGAACAAATTCTAAATGATTTTCGTCAATCATCAATTCATGATGAAATTGTATACCGTCTTGATATATTTTCATATTTAACTATTTTAAGTGAATATTTTTAAATTATTACTATTATTTTTTGTATACTATTATTATTATTACAATAGACATATATTCTAAATATACTTGATTATGCGCACAAGAAACATGATGATCATCAATATAAATACCATCGTCATGAATTATATGTTGAATATTTAATATCAATAATAACATATTATCAATTATTATTTTTTGATTTGCACAAAGTGATACATATACCTATGTACATAATTTATTTAGTCTTATAGATTATACATCACGTACAAGTCATGTATTCATTTGTAAAGAAATACATTTAGACGACAGCGTTTTTTTTTATTAGTTTGATTAATTGAATAATTTCTTCTATTATTATATATAATTTTAAAGGTTTTTTTACATGCTATTTTACTTCCGATAATCCAAACAGTATACTAAAATTTTTATATAATCTAAATGTGAGTTGTTAAGAATTGTATTTCTAAATAATTCAAATAAATTTGAAATAAATGCGTGTTTAATACATTCTTAAAATACTGATTATATTATTAAACTCTTGTTTAAGACATGTTAATACTTGTGGACTACATTCTGCTTGAAAATTATGATGTCCAGGAAACATTCGTACACGAAACAAACTTTTTAACATTGTTAATTCTTTCCAACCACATACAAAAAAAAAAAAAATTATTTCAATTTTATAAGAAAAAACAGATACCATAATGGATCATTAACACTCACTATTTTTCATTTTCACCCAAGATTATAATTAACGGATACTTGAATATTTATGTAAATACAATTCTAACATTTCTCTTCAAAAAAATACTATCGATTTTTTTAATCTCTGAGACATCTTCATCCAATGAAAACTTTCTGCATCTGGTCGTGCTGATCACAAATATCATACTTTTATTGAAGTTTAGCCGAATCATAAGGAACATATTGCTCCAAATTCTTATAGATTTTCTAGTAGGAGAAAATATTTCCATATATTAAAAATAAAAGAACCTTTCAATTTCTGTAGCATAACTCAGGCACTGAAATTGAGACTTTTCACTGAAGAGAAAATGTTAGAAGGATGTCTTTGTAAATATGCATGTGTCACTTAGATCAAATTTTTTGAAATAAAAAATAATAAAACCATGGGCTAGCAAGCTACTTATCTACCATCGACCATGAAGTCATACTTGTTTAAGTATTCTTCATTAGCACTTGCTTCTTTTTCTCCAACATAAACAATAATCGGAATCATCAGTGGAGTTTCTGGCAATACTCCTTTACCAACCTATATTAAATATACATAATAGTAAAATATAGCTATTTAAAATGTTACTTGTGAATCAGCTCTCAACATTGGTAATAACATTTTAATATAAGAAGGTTCATCGTAGATATATCTAGTAATAGGATCTATACACCAATACAAGATTTTTGAAAAAAAAACTTCTAATTCATCGATATTTACCAGCTATTGTTTTTAATTCCTCAATGATTTCTGCATCGGTCATATCGATATAATATTTATTAGAACCTAAATATATATTTTCACATAAATAAAAAAGTAAATATTTTTTTTTTACTTTTTAAATGAAGTGGTCCTCTTCCCATTTGAACCATCAATTGAATTAAATTTCCTTTATTTTTTGTATCAATCATATGTTTGGCTAATGCAAAACTAATTACACATCCAAGACTTGAATAAAAACGAAAATTAAAAAAAATTAAAAAAAAATCATAAAACAAACATACATATGTCCAATAAAAAAACATGGCTTATTAATATATGGTAAAAGTCCTTCATCCAATTGTTCGATATATTCTTTCAGATCTGTTATTAATTTATCATTAAATCTAGTTGATCTTCCTGGATAGATTATTATTGAAAATTCATATTCAGGAAAATCTCTATCCCAATCACGATAATATGAACCTCAAAATAATCTTACAAAGTAATATTTTGAAAGCATAAATAATACCTGTCGGACCAGCAGCTGGGAAAATAAATACTTGATATTTAGCTGTCGGACGTGGATGACAGATTTCAAACCAAGGATGTTGTTTGTTTAAACTACTTGCCATCGTTTCTTGATCTACATAGGGACAAATATACAATAAAAACACTTAATCTATCGCACTCAACAGTGACCATTACGCTCCACTTATCATTTCTGTATTGTATTAAAATTCTACCTTAATCTTTTTATCTCTTTCTTTCTTATGCACAGCCGTTTTGTCTTACATTGTTTATCAAATATAAATACAACATGAAGATGTGTTTATCTATTTAAACTTTTTTGTTTCTTAACATCAATGAACAAAAAATTCTGAATTGAATTGAGTATAATATTTAGGCACAAATATTTAAACATATAAGAAGTATGCTTACCTCAAATCAGCGAGAGAAAAAGAATATATTACAACATGAAAAAAAAAGAAAAGAAGAAAAAAGTGCTTCCCAGTCATGCGTTACACAAGAACAGGGGAAAAAAAAAGCCTATAGCCAATTATATTTAACTGTTGCATGGGACATATTATTGGATTGTTAGCAATTTGTATTACTACATATGACGGCGAAATGTGACGGCTCTATTAGTAATCTATGTTCTAGTGGCAGAGCCAGGACAGTGGCGACTCGCTAGCGGTGAGGGGGTAGTAGAAGGGGACGCCACTCATTTTTTACTTTTAACTTTTTAAGAGAGTATCCATGAAGGGACTGAGGAATCCAGGCACTGGTCAAAATTTAGATTTCCGATTTTTGTATGTACGTTCGAAAGGCCATAGTCTAAAACTACTAAATCTAAATTTTTAGCTCATTTGGATGTACTAAAGTAAAGTTAGCCAATACCGACTTCTGAACACTATGACCTGCTTATCAAAACAAATAGTTAAAACTTCTTCCTTAAATGTTTATTGGAATTATGCTTCAATAAATCACATATGTTTTTTGTTCAATATACTAAAAGATAGAGAACTAGTTGCTGAAAAAGAATAAGCTAATTAAATTATTACATATAATCTGTTCACTGAGATTTTGTAGTTCAACATGGATGAGAAATGTCATAATTTATGAGTTCAAAATGGTTGATTTGTGACAGTATATCAGCTGCCAGTTGTTGAAATCAAAAGACTCCAAAGTGGATCTGATATATGTTATATAACTTTTGACTATCTACAAAGCGGTAAAAAATATCGAAGAAGGGTGTGGGTGTGGGTGGGGTAGAAAAGAATACCTACACCCACACCTCACATCCACACACACCCACACCCATACTGTCCAGCTCTCAAAGCTTCAGTTTATACGCAGAAACATGCTACACAACAGAAAGAGAAAAGAAGAATGGATGAATGATTTTGTTTCTTACAGAACGCATTTTTCAATGCAATCCATCCATCATACTTTGCCATTTGTCTTTCTAAATGCAAGTGGAAATGACTTGGAATATTTCACTGTTTTTCTCCTTAGTTTCTTCATTTTAAAAATTTGTTGTTTCATGTTAGTTGCTCTTCACATTAATATTTTCGATCATGAAACAAGAGGATGAGAGGTGAAACAATAACTTACATCTCTACCCTCTGGAGCTCAAATCAGTTCTTAACTTTCTTTAATATATATATATACACAAAAGTTAAATTTTAATTTTATGAAATTTATTGAAATACTACAGTGACTAACATTTCTTGGGACTATTTCATTGAATAAACTTTATTCAGGTTCAAAAACGGTTTTTTAAAAGAGGAAAGATTCCATCTTGATTTGATTGGGTTTAACACCAGCTTTGTTTAACCATGAACTAGTATCAACCATAAATTGAGGAGGTCCACAAATATAAACACATCTGTTAATCACATCTGAAACATTGATTACGTCACTCAATTGCATTCTTCTTTTATATATATTGAGGGAGCCAGATCTCGTAGGAGCATTGACACCAGTAGAATCAAACATGGATATGGCTGAAACGATGGGAGATGAGATAAAGTCTTTGAGTAGATTTATTTCATCACCACGACCAGCGAATAAAACGACAACATCTACCTTCTGTTTGGTTTGAGATAAACCTTCAAGCATAGCGAAGAAGGGTGTAATACCAATACCACCAGCAATAAATAAAAGCTTTTGAGGAGCTTGGTTGGAGTCATCAAAGCATGTGAATTCACCTCCCACTCCAACGAATTTGCAAAATAGTGGCGGTTGCTGATCATTTGAGCGAGAATGTAGAAAAGAAGATATGACACCCTTGGGTAAATGCTTGATTGTACATGATACTTTGTTTGTAGTTTGAAACATATTCGTATTTGAATCAAATGCAGGAGATGAAGAGATGGTCCATGTTCGAACATGGTCATCATTGAGCGATTGAGGATTATCATTGTTCATGTGTTGATATGCTCGTTTAATCAAAGGCGCAAAATTAAGGATAACGAATCCTCCAGGTTTAAACGAAACCTTTTCTTCTAATTCAAATGTAAATCTTGAAATATGCTGGGTTAGGCTCTTAATATCTACCAAGGTAGCATTAGTGGTTGCTGGTTTTGATGGTTTTTTCATTTTCTCGAGTTCGATTGCAAGGTAGCGAACAGGTGGGTTATACAAAGAATATTGTTCAGGAGAAAGTAATTTGAGGTTGAGAGCCTCCTTGATCCACACATATCCATTCAATTTAATTCTTGTAATTAAAGTAACACGAGGCATGATACGTTCGGCTTCATCATCATAAATGTTTTCAGCAATACCGGTCACATGAAGCATATCACCAGTAGTGAAGCAAGGAAATACAACACCAGCAAGTCTATCCCTTTCAATATTTCCAAGAGATTGATAGAATTGATTTCCTGAATAATCTGGAATAACAATATATGTGTTCCCATTTTCTTCATAAGTTCGAACAAATCCAGGAAACCCACCACGATGGTTCACTCCAAGATCTGAAGTATTGTCAGAAACATTGCTAATGTGACGAGTGGCTAGAAAGATGGTACTAGCTTGACTGATAATATCTAAGCATTCTTGATTTAACGAAATATTGTCTGCATTTTGATGGTCAGCTCCTATTTGTGGATATCTTCCACAATATTCTAATTTTCGAACTGTAATATATTTTGGACAATTTCCCAAACTTTCATTGGTTATTAAAGACATATTGAGAGTATTGTCAACTACATTTGAAGAAGCAATAAATCCTGCTACTTTGTTTCTTCGACGATTGCTAAAGTCTACACCAATTCCAGCGAAATAGCGACTAGTTGCATTAACTGTATTGACTACACTCGAAAAAAATGGATCACCTTCTGGTAGAACAACCGAGACATTTAATTGAATTTTGGATACAGCATAAATGAGTGTTGTAGGTGAACCAACAATAATTGTTGCCCAAGGTCTTCCATCAGAATCAATAGTAGCAATAGCGAAATAACTTAAGTGAGTAAAGAATTCTGTGTGTTGATCTGGCATATCATCGTGCACCGTTTCAGAGACCATCTTTGGTACGTCTGGAGGAACATGTCTTCTTTTTTGGACGAAAAGTTCTCCCTCGTGTTGATAATGTGCTTTTATACGTGTTGTCATAATGTTTGGTGGTAGTGGTGATAATACTTTTTCGGACATATTGTTGTCTTTGTGAAACACAATCTAAAAGAGAATGTTGAAGTTTAAAATGAGAAATTTGGACCCTACTCTTCCTAAAAAAAATGGCAGGGTACAACTGCAGTTTAGTGACATCTCCATTGTTATATACATATATATATATATGATAGAACAGGAAAAAACATCTATTGATGAATCATATAATCAACTTCTGATAAAGATAGAATACAAGAGAAATATATGGCATAAGAGAACTTTATTTAGAAAACAAATATACATATATAAGATTAATTTGTAAGATTAAATTTTTTAATGGTTTATAGTCAAAGTCTTGCCATCAGACAAATTCTTCGAGATAGGAGGATAGCAAAGATCTACACATTCCTTCTTGTTGTTTTTTGTTTTCGATGTTTTGAGTATGAACATCTGTTACTGGATCAACAAAAAATTTTGAATGATTCACAGAATTACATGTATAATTCGGATTATTTCTTAATGGTACGTACGCTTTCCATTCATCTGAATTTATAGTTGAACCTACAAGATATCTTCTGTATCCATTAGTTTATGAAGCTTTCTCATGTTCAATTTATCAATATCCATAAGAGTGTTTATATTTTGTTATGAAATTTGGAAAAAAAACATTAGCTTTATATATGATTCTCTTATTGCAATAGATATTATTCAATTTATTATTAGAAATCCTGTTCCTTTTTATTTAATTGAGATAAATTTCTTTAGAAGTGCTGCAGCTGCGTGTGGTCTCTTTATTTCTCTTCATCTCTATACAAAAGAGAGTTATATTAGTTTATTCACGTCTCATGTTAATTAATAGCATCCTCCCAGCTGTTATGAGAGCGTTCATATAAGAACTACTATACATATCGAAATTTATTTCATTTGTTCTCTTATGCCATCTATTTCTCTTATATTCTATCTTTATCAGAAGTTGGTTATACGATTCACCAATATATTTTTTTCCTGCTCTGTCATATATATATGTATCTAACAATGGGGGTGGCACTAAACTGCAGTTGTACCGAAGTTTGTGATCAAAAAATTGCTTACTTACATTTTTTTTTATTTTGTCTTTATGAGTGATGTATATTCATATCGTTGTTTATATAGATTAATACATTTTATGCTTCGTCATTGAAAACAGGGCAAAATGGACACCGTAGCGCATAGAAAAGAAAGAAAGAGAGAAAGAAAAAAGAAATGCTTCGTCAAAAGCATTGTGTCGTTTTGTTGTTCTTCTAGTAAGAGAATAGCACGAGATATATTTTTTTCGCATCATGGCGACGATAGAAGAATTTTATAATGATAACGTTTCAATAAAGAAAACGTTAGCGAAGAGTTCGATTGGAAAGAAGTGACATGTGATATAGATTATCTTTTATGCATTGTTGAGTTCGATAAATAAAGGTACGATACGTATTCACCGTATTGTAAAGCTTATCTGTAGAAAATCATTTGAATAATGATTTCTATATAGTCATTGTTCAGTCGTGTACAGAAGTTGGTCGGGAGTGTAGGACATTGATAATTTTCTCCGGTAGCAGCAGCGACTAGATAAACTATGTTTTTTTATTTGTTGATTCAGTCAGTCCATTTTGCACGAAGGGACACAATATTTATCTATTTCTTATTCATGACAAGATTATTAGAAGTAAAAATTATTTTGACTATAAAATTGATAATTAGATCATTTGTTTTTGTAGAATTGTTACCAGACATTTTATCTAATTCTTTCGCAGAAAGTCAAAAATGAATGCTAGTCTCTTTTGATATATAATTGTCTGCTAAATTTTTTATAATTCAGCTCAGTAGGCAAACATAGATATCGTTAAGCAATAAAATCGATTCATGCTCTAATTGAGTTTCATATTTTCTCTATAGTTAATTATGCGATGTTCATATGAAAAATTTTTATTTGAATTATATAGTATTAGTCTTTGAATAATTGTCTTTTAAAAAAGAACATAAAAACGAATTCAGAAATCTTAAACAATCATTATTTTTGGCAAAAGTTAGGTTTTTCAAAGATTCACGAATATCACTTTTTGCCGGAATAGCTTGAGCTACGTTTTCAAATAATACAATTCGGGTGGATATGGGTGTGGATTTCGTTTTTCTTTTCACCCACATCTATATCCAACCAGACCCACCCCATCCACATCCACACCCACACCCTTTGTTGATGAGTTTAAATTTATTTTAATATCTAAATCACACTGATGATATTTGTACTTTGTATGAACAAAGAATATTTAATTTTTTACATGAAAATATATATATATAAGCAAAATTAGATAGATTTTTTGTTAAGACAAATAGTCAAAGACAAATAATCTTTTAATTCGCTGGTACTGTTAGAGTATAAACCCCAGCTTAGATAGAGACTGTAGTAGAACATCGAATAAGTCATTTTTGATTATATTATTGATTCAGAAGTTCTTTCTTATCCAAAACAGTATCCATGAAGAGAAAGTGAAAAATAGATACAGTAGTGAATTATAGGTTTTATGATGCATAGTGTTTATAAAGTTTCTTGTTTTCGTACTAAAATTAGTAATACCATAAATCCAAGTGAAATATTTGTAAATAGAAATTTAGTTTTGAAATACAACAATCATTAATTGTAGTATCTATTTCAGATTGACGACCGTATTAACCATTAATGTTTATTTATTTCAATGAAAATTTGTCAATCGATTTATATTAATTCTATACATCAATATAACTTTGAATTCTCCAATGGATAGATGTAAAAAATAACATTTAATGTTTTAATATGTTGAATTTCTTCTAATTCCATATGAACAGATTTAAATTGATTATTTATTGATGTTGGTGATTGAAAAAAAATATTCTATCATAATGTTGAGGTTTATCATTATTAGTTATATTTAAATTTAATTTAGGATCAAATGTATATGTTTTTTCAGGTCTTTGATCTGTCATTTGTCATTAATTATCAAGTTTAACTATATGAAAATTCTAAAAAGCATGCATTATGTGCTTATCGATTTGTTCGAAACAATATGATCGTGTATTTTCATCAATAAAAGCAATAGACAGGTCACTATTACTTGAGTTTTTATATTTTATCTATAGATAGATAGAACTACTTATGAATCAGAAGAAAAACACGATTCATCAAATTTTTACTGCAATTTTTAGTATTTTTTAGGGTGGAATTGATTCATTAATCATATAATGTTAATGGAAATGTTTCAACTTGTTGTAAAAAAATAACATCAGGTTTTTTCTCTGATATTGGCAAATTAAATTTTATTTATTGCACGTACCGAAGTAAAATTTTCATCGTAGTTTATGTTCATTGTTCAGTTAAATCATTTAATTCAATTTCATCACAAAATGCTAATCTGAATTTTTCCAATTTTATCTCAAACAAAAATAAATTTCATTGAGTATGTTCCTTAGCTTCATCAATACCACTTGCTTTAGTGGATGTCATGTTCATTTTTGACAAGGAACTATCATTATTATGATCAAATAATTTTTCATCTTCGTGTTCATCATCGATTATTTGAGAATTATCTAATAAAATCGACATCGCACTTCTACGTCTTACACAATAAAGAACGAAGTCACTATGGATAACATATATATCGCGATACTTTTTCAATAACTTTGAGTGAAAATTAATTTTGTTTTTTGAACTAAAACATATATGCCAATATTGATATTGAACGAATATTTATACAAATGAGTATAAAAAATAGCGATAAAAAAATATTAACTAAACTATCTGTGAGGTCAATGTTATGTACATATCTTTTATTAATCTGTTTTCTATTTTATATCATTAACTTTTTTGTCATACTTCATAGACCGAAAAGTGGATAATTATAAAACATAGTTCCTCTAATAATTATAAATATTAATTTCAGTTATAATCCATACAATAGTTTTATGTAATAGAATGAGATTGTTTTTGTGTACTCAAAAAGTGAGTACACTATAGAATCGGTCAGTGTGTCCGTCCGGCCGGCCGGCCGTTTACACGATAGCTTTTGAAAGGAGAGTCCGATCGCGATGAAATTTTCTACACATTTTAGTCTCAACAATATCTCGGTCGAGTTTGAAGATGAGAAGGATTGGCCGAGCCGTTCCTGAGTTATTGCAAAAATAGTCATTTTTCCCTATGGCTTCCTATGCGAAGATCGACCTATCCCCGCTGGGTGGGTGTGGGTGTGGGTGCGGTGTAAGTAAAGAATATCTGTGCCCACACCCATACCCACACCCTTTTCTTAAATATTTCGTGTTATAAAAGACTAGTTTATCCATTCTTGTATCCAATAATTCTAAAATAATAAGATTATTCTTTTTACTCTATCGATATTCATTACAATAGTTTATTAATCTACATATCAATTCAATTAATGATAGATGTTTTATCGTTTTTAAACTCTTTTTCATTGATTATAATTTAAAATTTCAGTCTAAAAATCAAAAATTCTTGCACGTCGTATAAAAAAATCTTCAGAAACATTTTACTTATAATTTATATACAAATGTGTGTTGATCACTATTTAATTATTAATTTTAATTGAAATATAAAAAATTTTAGTGCTCGAAAAAACAATAGATAGATAAAGTGGAATATCTCTTCTTTTAAACAGGTGGTATCGGTTTAAGAAAAAAATAAACATAAAAATTAAGATCAAAGTTGGCTTTCGGATAAGTCTCGGAATAAATTATGTCGTTTACCTGATTTATCAAAACTTGCCAGACTTTGACTCTCGTATTTTTTCGATAAGTTTGTCGGAAAAATATTACAGTCGA